TTTGCGGACGATATATAACCTGCAGAAATTATAAATAAGTATAAAATGTTTCACCATCTTGACAAATTCATATCGTAGGCCACTATAGACCGTGTTGCCCTATGCTCCCGCTCTTCCTTCTCCCTCGCTGAATTACATCTAAGTTCCTCAGTTCATGATCTCTACAAAACTCAGTTCCACTATTAAAGTTGAGCTCTACAAGGAAATGGTACACTACTTCATAGAGGTTAATACTTCGCAGAATTCATGAGTTGATATTATATACCATGTACTATAGCCTAACCGCTGAGCTGTTCCAGAACATCCTCGTTGGGGTCATCCTCTTCTCCTCTCCTCCTTTTTCTTTTCCTTTTATATGCTAAAGTAGAAAAGATATAAACACTGGTAAATATTCTCTCAACTTATAGGACACAAATTACAAACTGTGACAACATTGTGTACTCTCTTCCTGGTATTGTGGATAGACAAACGTGGCACTAGAACCTTAACCGTAGAAACACTAAAGAAATCAAGGGCCCATATGTAACTATACAAGATACCTTAATGTAGCCCATGGATTGAACTGAGTGGTATAAGCCCTTAGTTTCATGAGCAACTTTTTTGGATAATAAACATACTTACTATCAAGATTTTTAGGTTACAAGGGTAACCCCTGTGTAGGACTTAGTGAACAAGTAGGAAAATTCAAAGATTTTTTTGGCACAACAAAAAAGAAAAAGCAATCATCTAGACACCTGAAATAATTCCAGGATTTGTGGCCTTCAGGTAGCAATGCCCTTGGTTTACAGCCCATGCCTAAATGAAATCAATTAAAATCGAATAATATGCCCACAATAAGCCAGCTTAATTTTCCCTGAACATTTCCAACAGCAATGTGTAAAGCAAGTGAATTTATACCTTCAAAAGAATTTAAGATCATTTACTGCTGCAAGAGGAGCTATACCTTTCTTCTGCATCATTTTTCTCCTCCTCATCTAGCTCAGTTCCTAACACCAACAAGTGTGAGTAAAATCAGATAATAAGTACTGTAATAGCACATTTTACTGGAAGCTTCTTCTAAGAAGCACTCGAACCACATTCTTAAGCAGTCCCCTTGTTAACAGCAATATCATTTTTGTTGCTTCATTTTCAGAACCAGATCATCATGATCTACCAATGAAAAATTCAAAAGCACAACAGAAAACTGAATGCAAAGAAAATACAATGGAGACACTCAATTAAACTTTCATAAGAAGATTAAGTGGTAGACTTCTTATACAACAAATAAAAGGCAGAATTCAAATTCAATGAGATTGCTTTGAATAATGCATAATCTCACTACCTCATTAAGACATCTTGATTTCAAAACAGCTCATCCTCTTCAATTTCATCATCGAGCATCTTAGTCTCCTGAAAAATCATTCATTTTAGTCTTTTCAATTCCCGCTCAAGTATTACATCAATATAACCTAACTTGTGAATTTTACCACTACACAGCCAGCATACAGGCACAGCATTCATCACATGTAACATCAACTACATTACAATCCGGGACATGATTGACATTGTTAAATGTTTAACCTACGCTAAATGTTACAAATTAAAGTGATATAAGACTATTGTTCAAAAAGTGAAACTGTACCTTCATTTAGATTATCATTTTATTTCTTAACACATAGTAATACTTTCATTACGTCCAACAACTACCAACAAATGAAACAATTCTCCGTTAACGCTACCACTGTATCCTAAATCTGCACATAAAGGATGCTAACTGCACAAATTTCTTCTATTTTTTTTTTGAAATAATAAAAGAACAAAAATCATAGTCCTGGCATTATGTTCTCCCTGTAACTTTACCATCTAGCAACTAGGGGAAGCCACCGTCCCAAACTGTCTTATTCCAGTACAGTAACTTATCTTTTAAAAAATAAAATTCCCAGGCCTCGTATCCGGTTAACACTACCGTTACAGCCTCGTAGTTCCGCATTACCATAACATAAGCAACGAAGAAGGAATTATACAACTTACCTTTTTCCTCTTTTCTCAGAGGCGCAGTCGAAAAAACGCAGGACATCTTCTTTGTTCGAGGTTTCTTCCAGTGCCTCCACGCTTTAAACACTAATTTAGCAGATTAAAATATAAACATAAATAATAATAATGTTAGATTACATTTTCTGCTCCTTTATGATTCTTTTCCCATGTTAAAGATGACTCTCCAAAGGAGAATTGTGTTTGATACATACAGATTTTGATAACCTATATATTTGTACAATTATTTAATATGTTACCCACAAATTAACATCGCAATTAATCAATGTATTTAGTAATAGTACTGTACAAAAATGCTTTAAAGGTGCTTGTGTTCGTACCTGTTCTCAGGGTTTTGAACATTTCATGCTCTGTCATCCTCTGAATTTTCTGATAATTGTGAGCCAAATTAATGATCACCAACTATATGTGCTTCCAATATTTGACGAACCTGAACAATATTTAACAAAAGTACTCATTGAAAATAGAACGGGAAAATTATAATAATAATATTTTACGTAATTGAAACAATTAAAAGTATTGAGGGCTGATCAAAAATAACCTTAGACATGGCGGTCTTTGTTCTGGGAAGTAGAAATGCATAAGCTGCCTGCATACGTCAAGCATTCAACTTTCTTCTGAATGTATAAAAATGATCCAATTTGGGGTCCTTTTCCATTCATCATTTTCTTTTCTAGTAATTGTCGCCCCTGCACCATCCATATTCATATAATTAATAGGCCTTAGTCTGAGGGAGTTGGTACCCAACCGCCTAAACTATCTGAGCTCCTATGCTGACTGATGGTCGACCTGCCACCTCTCTTTGGATTGAAATTCCCCACCTGTTTTGACATTGATGAGACATAAATAATAAATTTTCAATGAAAATCTTAAATAATCCAATGATACACAAGGTATATACCTTTTAAGAAAATCCCACTTCCTCTTCAGCTTGTCTGCTTTTCCAACAGTGTGATTTGCTCTCTTTGTTCTACCATTCCATGCTCTATCTTCCATGAATCTTCCATTACAATTTTCTCACTGAATCAAACAAACATATACGTGGTGATTATGGTGAGGATCCTAATAAAACGATCATGAATCACAATCGAAGAAAAAATAAGTATTTTACATCAATATTGTTCAAATAGTAAACTATTTACAACAATCAAACTTTCTTTATTTATCTGCAATTGAATGGTTAAGTTGTTATATAGACATCCCCAAATGGAGAAATTAAACATCATCTCCTTTTGTACTTTGCTCTTTATACTTTCTCAGTGTTATCCTTCCTCTACAAAACAATATTAACAAAATCCAGTTGGCAATAATAAGAAATATTTTCATTTTAATCATACAAAATTTGGATAAATATTGCAGTTTGTAAACATGATTCATACCAGTAGGTATTGTAGAATCAAGTCTCAGTTGAAGTATTTTCAATTAGTCCTTCTGGCTTCTCTGCGTCTTGCTTCTTATTCTTTTTCATTTCCTGCATGCAATTACGGTTTGATGTCTTTATATTGAAGCTATTTAAAATATTTAGTAAGACAACTCAACAACTCAGTCTTAGTGACTGATCTCTGTTTATAGTCTGTATAAATTATGCATTAATATTACAACCATCAAATAAGAGAATAGAATAATGTTAATTTAAACCATCATTAATTACCTACCTCCTCCTCCTGTTCTTCTTCTTCTTCTTCTGTTGCTTCTTCTTCTTTTTCTTCTTCTTCTGTTGCTTCTTCATCATCGTCATCACTACTGTCTTCTTGTGATTCAAATAAAATAATAAGTACAAACAATTAATTTTTTAAAACAAAAAGAGAAATTTACCTAATATTATTATAAGTTCTTTTTTATTTTATATTATGAGACAAAATAGAAGTATTGTTCTTTAAGAATTCAACCTAATGTTAATTTAGATTTCAAAACGAAGAAAAATTTGAAAATGCAATTACAACTGTAAAACTAAAATCTTAACAAAATGATAAATATAAGTAAATAATTTATATTCTAGTTGAAAAATAATTTTAGCTAGAAAAGTTATTGAATTAGTCAAACACGATTCATACCACTTAAATTGTTGAGGACTGTGACAAGTGTCTCCTGCAAAACAAACCAATTTTTTAGATAATTAATGTATCTGAGCAATTAAAGGTGATTTAACTTATTAAGTATTCGTGCAACTAAACATAATTTAAGAAGAAATAAATCATTTTCAAAGGTTAAAACATAATTTCAAAGATATTTTCTTTAATTTAATTTAATTCATATGCAGAATTAATCATTTAATTTAATTCTTTTAAAACCAAATAATAAGCCCAAACAATTAATATTTTTAAAAACAAAAAGAGACATTTACCTGATATTTTCCTATTTTTATTATTATTTATAAGTTCTTTTTATTTTATATTATGAGACAAAATAGAAGTATTGTTTTAAGAATTCAGCCTAATGTTAATTTAGATTTCAAAAGGAAGAAAAATTCGAAGATGCAATTACAACTATAAGTAAATAAATTTTTTGAAAGTGAAATTTCAATGTAAAACTGTAACTTGGTTATTGAAACATCAACTCAAATTACTATGAAATTTTATGTAATATTAAGTATTTATGCAACTAAAGATAATTTAAGAAGACAGTACATATTATGATACAAAATCATTCTCAAATTGCTCTGTTTTACAAATTATGCATCAATCATCCATTGATAAAAGAAAAAAAATATTAACTAGCTACCTCGTCTTCTTCATCATCGTCATTGTCATCATCAGTATCATCATTATCATCGTCGTCGTTGTCATTATCAGTATCATCATCATCATCGTCGTTGTTGTCATCATCATTATCATCATCACCACCACCACCTCTGTCTTCTTGTGATTCAAAAAAATATAATAAGCGCAAACAATTGATTTTTTTTAAAACAAAAAGAGACATTTACCTAAATATTTTCCTTTTTTTTTTTTTTTTAATGAAAAATCAACTCAAACATGATTCATACCATTTACGTTGTTGACTAATTGTTTCCGTCTTCCCTCCTGCAAAACAAATCAGATTTTTAGATAACTTATGTATCTGATTAAACTTATTAAGTATTTGTGCAACTAAACATAATTTATGTATTATGATACCAAATCATTTTCAAACATTAAAACACAATTTCAAGTTTTGAATAGCAATTCATATTTATATAGTCTAAAAACATATTTTCTGATCAATGCTCAAAAACATATTTTCTTATCAATGCCTGTTTTCCCTTGAAATTTTCCAAATTATGCATCAATCATCCACTAATAAAAGAAAAAATAATATATTTTGCATTTAATATTTCATTTTCTTTCAAATAGTAAAAATATGTACAAATGTTTATTATGTATAACTAATCAATTCACATACCTGTTCTATGAACAATTGTTGCACTGTGGAGTTGAGGTTACCCATCCATCGTTCTTGTTCATCATGATAATCAATAATAACTTTGTTGAGTTTTGGTGTCAGTTGTTCTCCATAACCAAAGATCTTCATATTTGGACATTCACAAATCCAAACAGACTCCAAATCGGGGAATTCAATTGAAGATGAGCCTGAGCTAAAACAAGCAATGTTATCTAGACCTACAAGGTGCAAAGACGACAAACTAGGAAATACAATCCTCTGTATTGTTGATGCTTCCTCATTTGTGATTATTTCATGTAGTGTTGAGCATCCAACTATGCGAAGGCTTTTAAGCTTCACCAGTCTTTTGACTATGGACGGGGTAAAAAGGTTTTTCAATTTAGAGCTACCTATTATTATTACAGAAGTCAAGTTTCCCAAACTTGGGGAGGTTGTGGTGTGATCTTTCCTCCATGGTACTATACCCTTTTCATCATATTCCTCTTCTTCTTTCATCCCGAAGATGAAGATCTCCTCTAAATTCTTGCAATCAATTATCTCTATTTCTTCCAAACTAATAAGACTTCGCAATAACACTGGAGAAAATAGTTTAATTAACTTTGGGCATCTTTCCACACTTATTCTATTCAAGTTGCAGAGGTTTATGTATTGAGTGTCACCCTTCCATATTTTCGTCATCTTTGGCAGTTTTTCCAATTTTAGATTCTTTAATGATGAGAGCAGCTTTGTTTCTCCATTTGCAACCTTAAGCTCTTCACAATCGAATATATGTACCACTGATTTACAATTATCTATTGCAAAATTTTCCAGATTTTGAAACCTCTGTAACAAATGACTTGGAACAATGTTTGACAACCTGTTACACTTAAGCACAGCTAAAGATTTTAGCTTATTGAAGGACTGGGTTGAGGGTTCACCATGACATATTTCAATCAAGTTGGCAAGGTTCCAAATTTGTAATTCCTCTAAGTTTTTGAATGTTAAGTTCGATGCCCCTTCCAATGTATTTAGGAGATACATTACATTCTGATCACGTATTGCTAAACCTCTCAACTCATTGAAACCTCTGTCTACAAGTTCACGAAACATATTTTCCAAACCGATGATACGTAGAAACTCGGTTTTTTCAATTATCAAGTTCTTAAGGCAATCAAGCAATCGTGAAATCATAACCTTACCACCTGAGATCATAATTTTCCTTGAGTATTTTTTCATAATCTTAAGAAAGTGTTCCACATGCAAAACTTTTGGATCACCTATTATTATTGTAAAGTTCGATAACTTTTTGAACAGCATGTTATTATCGGGTAAAAGACCCTGGTTTGGGATAAAAATTTCCAACCTAGTTAGGTCAGACAAGCATTGTAACTCAGCAAGCTTGGCATTGCTTCTCCAATCCCCCTCATCTCCTTCAAAATCCCAAAGCATAGAACTTGGGAAAATGTACAACTCCTCTAACTTACAAAGAGCTGATATAACACCATGTGCTATTCGCTTTAGCTTTAGACAGAGATTCAAATCTAATAGCCTCAAATGAATTAATTTGCTAAAAGAGATAGGTATCTCCCTAATATTAGAACCACAAAGACTAAGAATTTCTAGGTTGCTTAGTTGCCCGATTATAGATAAATCGCCCAACTTGCAATAGTAAAGATACAGTGTTCTAAGATTTGTAAGCAAAGAAAGTGACTCGGGCAGTGGCAATAGTTGAGTTTTACTCAAGTCTAGAACTCTAAGATCTTTCATACCTTGAAAGAAATTGTTAGGGAGAACCAATTCATGATTCTTTTGCAATAGTAAAGACTGCAACTTTGGACATTCCATCCCATCAGGTACCGCTTTAATATTATTTGACATCAATGAGATACATGTGAGACTTTCAAATGTATCTCTTTCCGGCCATTCTTCCAAACCAATGCCAGCTTTCACCAAGAGTATTTGGTTGTACTTAGGTGCTATTATATGTGCAACATCACGTACAACATCATGCATTTTAACATACACATCATAATCTTCATCATCGTCGTCATTTTCTTCATGAATCAAGAGAAAAGAAGAGACAAGGGAACTTACAATAGCACTTGCTCTGTCTCTAACATGCTCCATTGTGTCAACATTTTTGAACCACCCCAATCCAGCTCCATATCTCGCTAAAATTGTAATTGAGATTTCGAAATCCTCTGGAAATAAGCTACAAAAGAAGAACAATGATTTCGCATCTTCACTCTCTAGATATTTGATGCTCAACTCCAAAGATGAAATCACACTTCCTTGCAAGCCTCGGATGTCTGTTGGGGTAGACGTTTTGAGTTGTCGTGCCGCGTCAATCCAGACATACTTGTTTTTGTTCTTCAATGTTGTTGCTATGGTAACAACTGCAATCGGCAAACCACCACATTCAGCAGCTATTTGTCTGGCAATTGGGTTTAAATCACTGTTGTCAACACATGCTCCAGCTTTCTCCTTAAAAAGGACCCAAGATTCTTCTTTTGATAACGTTGCAACCGTAAATATCGGTTGAGCATCCATTTCGTCGCATACATCTCTGCTTCGAGAGGTGAGCACAATCTTGCAACCTCTATGGTCATTTCCAAAAGGAATTCCAATCTCATACAGCTCAATTCTTCTCCAAACATCGTCTAATATTACAAGCATCTTTTCTTCCTTCTTGATTCTTTCCCAAAGGGATCTTGCTCTAGCTGTCTCGCTATCGTCCGGCAGATCTTTCAAACCCAGCATCCGAGCAATTTCCCCCTGAATATTCATAATATTTACGGTTTGAGACACAGTTGTCATCACTACAACACCATATCGCTTATCTTCACCTGCCTGTTTGACGATTTCTGTCACTAACGTGGTCTTACCCACACCGCCCATTCCACACACTCCAACGATACTGACGTTGTCATCTCCCAAGGCCTCCAAGATTTGCTTCATAATTGATTTTCTGGATTCGAAAGTTCCAGAAAATACCTCAGATGGATAAATAATTCCTGGAGGAGGAGCAGGACGAGATACCTTCTTCTCAACTTTCCAATCTTCTAGGAGCTGAGAAATCGCAACATTCTTGTCTTTCGCCTCCTTACTGAATCTGTAACGGGATCTGGGATTAATACACCACCCGTTGAGACACCTCTTGTTTGCATTGACTTCATCTTCCAAAAACTTTGCAGCTTCTGCAGAGATTTTATCAACTTCTGTCATCCAGTTCTGCACATCAGTTTCAATAATTTCAAGATTCCTTGCAGCAGCATCAATATATCCCTGTACCCTCTCTCTGATACCTGCAAGTTTCTTAGCTTGGTTTTCCAACGTTCCAATGTTGTCGTTGTAGTGAAACAAGTAACCGAGGTGACGGCCTGCTGCGCCGAACAAGCAGTCGGTAATGCTCCCAACAACTGAAGAAGCAAACTCCATGGTGTTTTAAAAGAAAATCAACAAGAGAAATGATAAAGAAAACACAAGGTTTCAGTGATTAACAAGAGTATGCATGAACGACTCACTTTATAAGTCTTCTTCTATGTGAGCACTCCAGTCCAAAAAGATAGCTTTTCTTTTCTTTTTTCTTTTTAAAAAAATAAAATAAAAAATTGACAGTATCACTGTTACTTTGATAAATAACCTAAAATTACCCAAAATAAAATAATGTTCACAATTAACAAAGGTATGTTGTAAGCACCACTATATTACCCCAATAACATAAAAAAGTAATAATTAATAGTTAAATTTGTTACAAAATTAAAGTACGTACTAAGTCGAGAAACTAAATGTGACAAATGGTGAGGAAATTAATGATTCCTCGTGATGTGTGTGTTCATCATATGCTAATTCTTCTTCCTTACCGGGAAGGGTAAGCCGATAAGCTTACAGAAATCTTGAAATGAGAAGACCCAAGTTCAATTTAGCTGGGCAAGGTCTATCAATGTTATGGTTATGGATTGTTGAAGATTTGAGTCCATTAAAACTTTTTCCAAACCCAGTATAAATTACAATCCACATACAATAATCGAATTCACAAAATGGAAAATTATAATTATAAATAATTCAATAACACTTCAATAATTCTGATCTTTACACTTTCCATATATAAATTCCAAATTTGATGACTCTGCAATTTACTCTGTTTTGACCATTTCATGAACTGGTTTCTCCTGAATTTCCACTACAATTATCTGAATTTAACCTTAAAGAAAGGCATTCGTGAAGGATCCTGATAAAAATATCCTTTTATTAATTACAGAAACTGAGATTCCATCACAATTTTACATGCAAATTTCTTCCTATAAATATTTTCAAGTTTTCAAACTCTTAATTTAGGAAAAAAAAATGCTGTTCCAAGACAGGAACCTGTGATCATTAAATTATAGATCGATTACCAGATTAATCGCTCTAAAATAAATGCTTTAAACTGAACTAGTTTGTATTTGTATAAGGTTATAATATATAGTTCAGACAAATCTAACAAATTGAGGAATATTCATAAACTCAATTTATGATACGTCTGTACTGTACAAACAAGAAGCGAGAGTTTTCAAGAAAAATCAGTTAATTAAGATCATTACTTGAGGCATCACCATATTAGATTCATAGCTACCATCCATTAATATTGGAGGGAAAAGTCTTCAATATATACGCACAATTAATTTAAGCTGGCTTCTACAGAATACCTGAAAGCCCTATAGCAAAACCCTCTTGGTAATATCATAAGTTTCATTTTCAAAACATTTATTATGTATTAATTTTAGTGGATACGACTGGTACACATATTGATCTGATGTATATGTAGAAAGACTTTTTCCTTAAATGAGTTTTATTTGGTTTCTATTTATAAAGAGAAGCGAAGAAAGAAAAGTTAGTTGAGAGAGTAAATAAAAGCGTTGGCCGTTGGGCAAAGAAAAATGTTAGTTGAGAGAGTAAATAGGAGCGTTGGGCAAAAAGAAAAGTTAGCTGAGAGAGTAAATAGGACCGTTGGACAAAAAGAAAAATTAGTTGAGAGTCTTAATAGGAGCGTTGGGCAAATCATAAATAAGAAGATAAAAGTAGATAGGTGATTTAAGAGAAGAGCGTCAACTGCAGGCATTTATTATTTACAAGCACTAATTTATTGCAGCATGTTCTTCCTATTTATTACAATCCCACTTTTCACTCTGCACCTACCCTCTTGGACACTTTCAACTCTATCAATAAATTACTTAATGGACCTTGCTAGGGATATATTTATGATACATGATAATTAATTTTTCAGTAAGAAACTTAAATAATCCGATATTGTAGCAAAAAGTATACAGTTAGTATATACATACATGCTAGTTCTTGGAAAAATTTAATGAATCAAAATTCAACAGACAATATAAATTGGAAATGATGTCTCAAACCTCTTTAGCTTGTCTGCTTTTCTAAATAATGCATTTGATCTCTTTCTGCTACAATTCCATGCTCTATGTTTCCCCTCAATTTTCCATTACAATTTTTTTATATAAATCTAAACAAACTATGTTGTGACTATGGTAAGTATCCTCATAAAATGATCATGCATCAAACCACTAAAGAAAGAAAAATATTTATATTAGAAATATCATCAAACCACTAAAGAAAGAAAAATATTTATATTAGAAATATCTTCGATACTCATACTCTTTATAGTCCAGGGGTATGCAAAACTGGTTAACCAAACCGAACTGGTCATTTTTTGAATCAAACCAGAAAACCGGTTCAAGCAAAAATCCAAACCGAATTCGTGCTTGAATCGGTTCTAAACCGAATTGAATAACTAGTTCGAAAAACAGGTTAATTGGTATTGAATTGATTTTGAAATTTAAAAGAAAAAAATCTTAATAACTCGGCTCATAATGCCAGTGAGCCCATTTCTGTAATGATTAGATGACCCGATCTATCAAGCCCAGCCCGAGGATGAATCCAATGTGTAGACTAACCCAGGCTGTATTATCATAAACATTGACCTGGAAAGTTACTGTTGTAGTCTTCATTTATGTTTGCAAGATGGAGGCCTCATAGTTCGAAATTTACTGGGTATAATCAATGATCTCCATAAGATACGTCTTTCTGATTAAATTAGAATAGGATAACTTTTTGCTAATTGAAGAAATTTACAGGGTATAACTTTTTTATCTGTAAAAATGGCTTTCAAGATTATAAAAAATTGAAGAACTAACGAACTTGTAAAAAATTATGTAACGGTCAACTACCGTCTTCCAATCTCTCCTCAACTTAAAACGAAGCAAATTAAATTACAAGTCAATTAACTACAAACAACATATGCAACTAAAAAATGGGCAAATATTTTGTGAAACTTATGATAGAGAAAATAACACATTTATTGGCTCGTAGTTCAATTGGTACTCTTGATTTATTTGTAGGGATGATAGAAAAAAATAACCAAAATAACACATTTAGTGCTTATCTCATTGAAAACAAGGTCAGTCTCGGAGGGCAAAAAGAATTAATTTTAGGGAAAAGAAATTAATTTATTAGCTAGTAATGTTTACCATATGCTGCCTGGATTGGAGATGATCTCTTTAGAAAATTGTTTCTGCGTGAATGTGTATGAACTTAACCATCAGAAGGCTAGAATATGGTTAAGATGTAAAATGATCGCATTCCGAGTGACAAAAAGTATAAAGAAATTAATAAGTGTATTTACGTCGCATAATTTTTTTTTTAAAAATCTCAGTTATCTTTACAATTTATCTAGTTATTTAGTTTGGTCAGGTTCTACATGCCGAGATCTTAATATTGAATCTCACCCAAAACTAGCTTCGTTGGATGGGTTTATTCTGGATTTGTAATTTTTAAAAAAATTAAGAAAAAAAATTAATAAGCCTAGTTACCACATAATACCTAGATTGGAGATGATTTAGACAGAAAAATCTTCATCAAATGGTTGACAAATTTTGTTTAGTTACCGTAATAGTAGTTAGAAACAATTTTGTGAGTGGAATTTAATAGTCACAAGGGTAGGATGACAAGTCAAATATAATCTCATTCTAAGATCTTGTTATGCATGTGTTTATTTGTTTTAATGCTATCCCCAATGCCAAATACTAGAATGAAAGAGTATAATTTTTAAGGCATTGATGTTATTAATATCATTTAAAAATTGTTATGAGTTATTGGAGGAAACTTAAAAAGCATGAACATTAGTATGGACTACACATTTTTGAGTTCTAGATTCCAAAAAGAAAATTTTGGTAAGTGACCAATTTTTAGTTTTAAGTGGAAAAAAATGCATCAAATCAAGTTATAGATTAAAATGGTCAACACATATAAGGGTAAAACATGCATTGATATACACCATTGTGATGGCTGATGAATTCGTAATTTATATAGCCTTCAATATGAATATTGACATACATCAGCATTTTTACCAAAAATTATTAGCTTGCAACCACCTTAGATATGGTGAACTTACAAGGAGTAGGTGTGGTTGAAATATCTAATGCGCCTTTACTGATTTCCAAATATGAATAACCTGTGCGAGAGATTTATGAATAAGTATAAGACGCTTTCAGTATCGACAACGGTGTACAATCTATAGTTGGAGATCATTTTTCTAGAGAACTCAGATCAATAACAAATCAGAGAATGCTTACCATCCTTTGACAAATACCGTATCTGTGGGCCACTATAGACATCTTTCTGCACTATTGCTCTTTTCTTAACTTCTTCCTCCCTCGCGAAAACACGTTCTAAGTTCCTCAAGTTCCTGATCTCTACAAAATTACAGTTCACGCCATTAAAGTTGAGCTCATATAAGGAAATCGTCCATAACTTCATATATATTAATAATTTTCCAGAAATTCATGAGATGATACTATATACCATGTGTTGAAAATCAGAGTAGTTAAAAAAATATTAAAATTAAAGAACAACACATATTAACACATAAAAAGGCACACGATATTTTACGTGATTGGCATAACTTACCTATACCCACGAATAAGAGGGTTTTCACTATAATAATATGAATATGATACAAGTATTTCATCACACCATCAACCTTCATTCTGAGCGATTGTTGGATCCTCTAATTCTCCAGCTAAACATCTTGTTCCTATGGTGTTTAATACCCCTGAATACCCTTACATTAAAACTCATTGTATCCTCACATTCTCTCTTTCTTTACTTGTCTATCTCATAACCTTGAATTGGTTCTAACTCTCCTATTTATAGGTAAAATAAGACATTCTTATTTTACTAGGATTCATATTCTTATTCCTAATAGAACTCCTCTAATTTAAATCATTCTCCTATTTTAACTTAAATAAAGTCTGAAACCAATTCTTCTTTCCTAATACATCTCACAATAGAAAAGGAAAACAATTATTCTCAATTACAAATTCTTAAACTAGAAATTTGCCTAAAACTTAAATTTATTTTTCTTCTTGTTTGTCTTTTCTTCTTACTTGCCTTTTCCTCTTGATTGGCTTTTCTTCATCAATTACCAAAAAGTGTTCACATTCCAACACCATGTACTACTATAGCCTAACTTGTTTGAGATGCTTCCAGAAGCATCTCTTTCTTGGGTCATCCTCTACTCCTCTCCTTCCTTTTGCCTTTTTATTAGCTATAAATAGAAAAGATATAAAAGACGGGATAAGTATTCATCTCAACTTATAGGATCACAAATTACAAACTGTGACAACATTGTGTACAGAGAGTCTCTTCCTGGTATGTAGATAGATAAACATGGCATTAGAACCATAATCGTAGAAACACTAAACAAATCAAGCGCCTAATAATGTAACTATACAAAAGACCTTAATGTAAGCAACTAGAAACCTAACCCCAAGGATTGAACTAAGTGGTATAAACCCTTAGTTTCAACCAAGAGGTCAAAGGTTTATGGGGCAACCTTTTTGGTATAATAGTTACTTGGCTATCAAGGTTTTAGGTTACGGAAGTAACCCCTAGTGTAGAATTTAGTGAACAAGTAGGAATATTTAAAGAATTTTTTGGTATCAACCAAAAAGAAAAAGAAATCATCTAGACACCAAGGAAATATTCCAGGATTTGGGACCTTGAGGGTAGCTATGCCCCAGGTTCACAGCCCATACCTAACTGAAATCAATTAAATAAATTGAAATATATGATCCTACAACAAGCCAACTTAATTTTCCCTAAACATTTCCAACAGCAACGTGTGTAAAGCAAGTGAATTTATCCCTTCTAAAAGAAATAAGCCTCCAACACCCCAAACTGACCTTCATTTTTGCTTGCATTGCTGCACGTTTTGCATCTCTCTCAGCTTGCCTAACAATCACAGCAGTTCTTGTGGATTTTCTGACATTTCTCTCACCTTCTGCATCATCAGGGACGTCTTGATTTTCAGGGGGGATAGACTGTTGAGTTCAACAACCTCTGCATCCACTACATAATTATCATCATTCTCTTCCTGCAAAAATAAATATATAAACAAATAAATACAATAACAAATATATATTATATATTAGTGTGTAATGGTAAAACTCTTTTTTTGTTCCTTCATACATAGATCAATAAGAATTCAGGGTAAAAAAAAAATTAAGGGTAAGTGCTTTTGACAGAGACAGAGTGAGAAACACTTTCAAAATCAAATTGTCCAAATGCTTTTATGTCTATTTAATAATTATTGACTTAAACAAGCAAAAACGTTTTTTGGGATTAAAAAAGCACTTGAAATGCTTTGGTATATACTTTGGTAGAGAGCACTTATTTTGTTAGAAATGCAATTTTTATCTAAAATCACAGTAAGCGCTAGGTGCTTTGCCAAAAATCAGTTTTACTTGAAAGCTTCTTTTAGAGAAGCACTCCCAAACACACTCCAACCACGTTCATTATAAGCAGTCCTCTTGTTAACAGCAATATCATTTTTGTTCCTTAATTTTCAGAACCAGATCGTCATGATCTACCAATGAAAAAAGCTGCGAAAGCACAACAGAAAAATAAATGCACAGAAAATACAAATGATGACACTCAATTAAACTAATCATAAGAAAGATTAAGTGGTAGACTTTCTTATCGACAAAATAAAAGAACAGATTTCAAATTCGAATGAGAATGAGAATGCTTTGAATAATGCATAATAAACTACCTCTTAAGAGCATCCTGATTCCATAACAGCTCATCCTCTTCAATTTCATCATCCTGCAACTTAGTCATCCTGCAAAATCATTCATTTTAGTCTCTCCAATTCCCACTCAACTATTACATCAATACAATCATAACTTGTGAATTTTAACACTACACAGCAGGCATACTAGCACAGATTTCATCACACACATTACACAAGACAAGATTGACAATGTTAAATGTTTAAACGACGCGTAAATGTACCTTCATTCAGATTATTAGATTTTATTTCTCATCACATAGTAATACTTTCATAACAAGTCCAACAACTACCACAAAAATGAAACAATTCATTCGGTAACGCTACCACTGTATCCTAACTCTGAACATAAAGAATGCTAATTGCACCAATTTCTTATCTTTAAAAAAAAAAAAAAAAAAAAAAAAAAATAATGGTCCTGGCATTATGTTCTCCCGGTAACTTTACCATCTAGCAATGTAGCGAAAGCCACCGTCCCAAACTTTCTCATTCCAGTACAGTAACTTATCTTTTAAAAAATAAATTTTCCAAGCCTCGGATTCCGGTAACACTACCGTTACAGCGTCGTAGTTTCGCATTACCATAACATAAACAACGAAGAAGAAATTATATGAAACTTACCTTTTTCCTCTTATTGCTCGAGAGGCGAGGTCGAGAAAAGCGACAGGAGCATCTTCTTTGTTTGAGGTTTCTTCCATTGCCTCCGCTGCGGCTTCTACAGAAATTCTTCTTCAGTTCTTTCGGGAAATAAATATCAAGCGCCTCGATTGTCGCTTGCAGATGAAATTTTCTAGCTGTTCTAGTCGAATCTTCAAGGAATTACGGCGGAAATTGACAAATCGTAGATCAAATGAGGAAAAGAAATATTGAGAAGGAGAGCGAGAGGGAAAAAGAGAAGCTGTTTGATTACTGAGAAACAGTGGAGTTTTTGTAAGGGGCTTGTTGGGAAAATTTAAAGACCCCCGAGTCTTACTATTTTCTTATGGACCCTTTAGGTTTCAAAGATATATCTAGTTGCGCCATAAATTTGTCTTTAATATCAAATTTACCCCCATGATTTCTAAACTAAAATATGTATTTAATATATCAGTACAGACCTTAATTTAAAAATTTATTTTAACATCGCGATTCTAGCAAAATAATAAAGCACACAAAACAAATGTTAAGAAGAATGTTTTAGTTAAATCTGGGTGAGATTAATCAATGTACTATAAGTATTTATAGTACTATGAAAAATGCTTAAAAAATGTAATGAAATTGATCCAATCAGGGGTCAATTCCATTCATCATTTTCTTTTCTAGTAATGGTCGCCCCTGAACTATCCATCTTCAAATAAATTAAATAGGTAGTTTATGAATTAAAATTTTTAACTAACTTGTGCTCAAAGAGTAGTATAATTTGAAAAGTTTCAACCAAATATGTTTTCTTAATGTTTGATTTATCATCTTATGTTCAACAAACAAATAATTGTGTAAGAGCTCCTATGCTACCACCTTACCAGACTGAAATTCCCCACCTGTTTATGATATTGATGAGACATAGCTGGTATAAAGCTGGTAAAATCCCATTTGGATTTGATCTCTTTGTTCAACCATTTGATACTCTGTTTTCCCATGAACCTTCCATTACAATTTTCTGACATGAATCTAAGCAAACTATATATGTTGTGACTATGGCGAGGATCATAATAAAATGATCATTAATCAAACAGTTGAAGAAAGAAAAAGTACTTCAATAAAACTATGCTTACTCACAATCTTACTAACCATCTTACTATCCTGATAAATATAATGGCATAGTACGGGTACTATGCGTATGGTACCTGTACTATGCCGTTATATTTTCCAGGATTGTAAGATTGTTAGTAGGATTGTGAGTAAGCATAGCATTACTCAAAGTATTTTACATCCAAATATTGTTCAAATAGTATAACTATTTATAACAATCAAACTTACTTTATTTATCTACAATTGAATTGAGTTATTATATAAACATCCCAAAGCTCTTGCATAGCTTAGAAATGAAGAAATTAAACATCATCTCCTTTTGCGCTTTTCTCGTTATACTTTCTCAATGTTAGCCTTCCTCTACAAAACAATATTATAATAAATAAAAATTAACTTTTTTTTAAGGTTATTTTCATTTTAATCTTACAAAATTTTGATGAATATTGCAGTTGGTAAATATGATTCATACCAGTAGGTATTGCAGAATCAAGTCTAAGTTGAAGTATTTTCAGGTAATCCTTCTGGCTTCTCTGCACCTTGCTTCTTATTCTTTTCCATTTCCTGCATGCAATTATGGTTAATTTGATTTCTTTATATTGAAGCCATTTAAAACATTTCTCTTCTCAAGGATTTTAGGTTATTGAAAGCATTCATTCTTATACATGAATAGTTTTTTATTCCAACACCGTAGTTTTGAGAACATAAAATATTTAACTCAACAACTCATCCTCAATAATATCTGTTTATAGTCCCTATAAATTATGCATTAACATTTAAACCATCAAATAAAAGAATAGAATAATGACAAGATATAAATCTTAATTTAAACCATCATTAATTACCTACCTCCTCTTCTTCTTCTTCTTCTTCGTCGTCGTCGTCGTCGTCATCTCTGTCTACTTGTGATTCAAACAAAATAAAAAGCACAAACAATTAATGTTATTTGAAAGCGAAACTTGTTTCTCTTTTTTGTTTCAATGTAAAACTGTAACTTGGTTATTGAAACATCAACTCAAATTACTATGAAATTTTATATAATGATTAATATTCTACTTAAAAAATCATTTTAGTTAGAGAAGTTATTGAATTAGTCAAACATGATTCATACCATTTACATCGTTGACTAACTGTTGCCTTCTTCTTTCCTTCTGCAAAACAAATCAGATTTTCAGATAATATATGTATCTGAGCAACTAAAGATGTTTCAACTTATTAAATATTTGTGCAACTAAACATAATTTAAGAAGATACTATGTGTTATGATACCAAATCATTTTCAAGCATTAAAACACAATTTCAAGTTTTCAATGGCAATTCAGATTTATTTTCTTATCAATGCTCTGTTTTCCCCTGAAATTTTCCAAATTTGGAAGCATCTATGCATATGAAAACTAAGGCTTCATCATCATCATCAACATAAAATATTTACTAAGACAACCCAACATAGAATAATGACGGGACAAATGTTAATTTATACCATCATCAATTACCTACCTCCTCCCCCTCTTCTTCTTCTTCTTCTTCTTCTTCTTCATCGTCGTCGTCATCATCTTCGTCGTCGTCGTCGTCGTCATCATCATCATCATCATCGCTATCTTCTTGTGATTCAAACAAAATAATAAGCACAAACAATCAATTTTTTTTTTTTAAAACAAAAAGAGATATTTACCTAATATTTTCCTTTTTTTTTAATCATTATAAGTTCTTTTTTATTATTCAATTGATTCATACCATTTACATTGTTGACTAAGCGTTGCCTTCTTTGCCTTCTTTCCTCCTACAAAAGAAATTAGATTTTTAGATAAATTTATGTATTTGACCAACTTAATACGAAATGATTTTCAAAGATTAAAACACAATTTGAAGTTTTGAATGGCAATTCAGATTTACATAGTCTAAAAACATATTTTCTGATCAATGCTCTGTTTTCAAAATTATGCATCAATCATTCGGTGGTAAAATAAAAAAAATAATATTTTGCATTTAAAGTTTCATTCTTTTTTTTCAAACAGTGAAAATATTTTCAATTGTTAACTATGAACAATCAATTCACATACCCTTTTTATGAACATTTGTTGCACAGTGGAGTTAAGGTCACCCATCCATCGTTCTTCATAATATATCACGACTTTGTTGAGCTTTGGTGTCATTGGTTCTCCATAACTAAAGATCTTCATATTTCGACATCTATAAATCTGAAGATACTCCAAAGCTGGGAATTCAATAGAATATGAACCTGAGCTAAAACAAGAAATGTTATCTAGACTTTCAAGGTACAAGGAGGACAAACTAGGAAACACAATCCTCTGTGCTACTGATGCTGATGCTTCCTCATTTGTGATTATTTCATGTAGTGTTGAGCATCCAACTATTTTAAGCCTTCTAAGCTTTACCAGGCTGTTGACNAATTTATATTCAGAATTAATCAAAAGGAAAAAAAAAATGTTAAACTAAGTTTGTATTGTTAAAGAAAACAAATTTTCTGATCAATGCCTCAATCATCCTACTATAGAAGAAACTTTAAATGCAAAATAGTATAAAAGAAAAAATTAATATTTTGCATTTAAAGTTTCATCATCTTCCAAATAGTAAAAATATTTTCAATTATTAACTAAGAACAATTAATCAATTCACATACCTCTTCTATAAAAAATTGTTGCACTGTGGAGTTAAGGTTACCCATCCATCGTTCTTCTTTACCATAATAATCAATCAAAACTTTGTTGAGGTTAGGTGTCAATTGTTTCCCATAACCAAAGGTCTTCATATTTGGACATCCATGTCTCTTGAGTGTCTCCAAAACTGGGAATTCAATAGAATATGAGCTTGAGCTAAAACAAGCCATGTTGTCTAGACTTCCCAAGTACAAGTAGGACAAACTAGGAAACACAATCCTCTTTACTGTTGATGCTAATTTCTCATTTATTATTGTCTCTTCTAGTGTTGAGCATCTATATATTTGAGATCTTCTAAGCTTCACCAGGCTTTTGACCATAGATAGGGTGAAGAGGTTTTTCAATTTACAGCAATCTGTTATTTCTATAGAAGTCAAGTTTCCCAAACTTGGGGAGGTTGTGCTGTGATCTTTCCTCCGTGGTACTATACTCTTTTCCTCATATTCCTCTTCTTCTTTCATCCTGAAGATCTCCTCTAAATTGTTGCATGATCGTATCGTTATTTTTTCCAAACAAATAAGACTTCGTAATAAAGCTGGAGAAAATAGTTTAATTAAGTTTGGGCATCTCCACAAACTTATTCTCTTCAAGTTGCAGAGGTTTATGTATTGAGTGTCACCCTTCCATATATGCATCATCTTTGGTAGATCTTCCAACTCTATATCCTTTAATGACGAGAGCAACTTTGTTTCTTCATTTGCTACCTTAAGCTCTTCACAATCGAAAATATATACTATTGATTTACAATTAACTACTCCAAAATTTTCTAGATTTTGAAACCTTTGTAACAAATTACTTGGAACAATGTTTGGCAACCTGTTGCACTGAGCCACAAATAAAGATTTTAGCTTATTGAAGGATTGGATTGAGGGTTCACCATGACATATTTCAACCAAGTTGGGATGGTCCCAAATTTCTAGTTCCTCTAAGTTTTGGAATGTTAAGCTTGATTCACTTTCCAATGTAGTTAGGAGATATGTTACCTTCTGATCAACCACAAATAGACCTTTCAACTCATTGAACCCTCTATTTACAAGTTTAGGAAAAATATTTTCCAAACTGATGATATATGAGTATTCTGTTTTTTCAGTTACCAAATTCTTAAGGCAATCAAACAATTGTGAAATCATAACCTTATTAGATGAGATCATCAATTTTCGTGAATAATTTCTTGTATCATACAAAAACAGCTTTGTGGTAGTAATTTCTGGAGCACCTATTATTATTGTAAAGCTTGATAACTTTTTGAATAGCATGTCATTATCAAGCAAAAGATCCTGGTTTGGGATAAAAATTTGCAAGCTAGTTAATCTAGACAAGTATTGTAACTCAGCAAGCTTGGCATTGCTTCTCCAATCCCCCTCATCTCCTTCAAAATCCCAAAGCTTAAAACTTCTCAAAATATATAGCTCCTCTAACTTACAAAGAGCAGATATAATGCCATGTGCTATTCGCGTTAGCTCTTCACAGTTGTTCAAATCTAATAGCCTCAGATGAATTGATTGGCTAAAAGAGAGGGGTATCTCCCTAGTATTAGAATCACAAAGACTAAGAATTTCTAGGTTACTTAGGCACCCGATTATAGATAAATCGTCCAACTTGCAATGATTAAGATACAATGTTCTAAGATTTGCAAGCATAGAAAGTAACTTAGGCAGTAGCAATAGTTGAGTTTCACTCAAGTCTAGAAATCTAAGATCTTTCATGCCTTGAAAGAAATTGTTAGGGAGAACCAATTTGGTATTCTTTTGCAATAGTGAAGACTGCAACTTTGGGCATTCAATCCCATTAGGTACAACTTTAATATTATTTGACATCAATGAAATACATGTGAGACTTTCAAATGTATCTCTTTCTGGCCACTCTTCCAAACCAATGCCAACTTTCACCAAGAATATTTGGTTGTACTTAGGTGCTATTATATGAGCAACATCACGTAAAACATCATGCATTCGAACATACTCTTCACCATCATGGTCATTTTTTTCATGAATCAAGAGAAAAGAAGAGATAAGGGTACTTACAATAGCATGTGCTTTGTGTCTAACATCTCCATTGTCTCAACATTTTTGAACCACCTCAAACCAGCTCCATACCTCACTAAAACTGTAATTGAGATTCTAAAATCCTCTGGAAATAAGCTACAAAAGAAGAATAATGATTTCACATCTTCACTCTCTAGGTATTTGATGCTCAACTCCAAAGATGAAATCACACTTCCTTGCAACCCTGGGATGTCTGTTCGGGTAGACGTTTTGAGTTGTCATGCCACGTCAATCCACACATGCTCGTTTTTGTTCTTCAATGCTCTTGCTATGGTAACAATTGCAATCGGCAGGCCATCACACTCAGCTGCTACCTCTCTTGCAATTGGGCTTATAATAAAATTTTCAACATCCATTCCAGCAAGCTTCTTGAATAGCGTCCAAGACTCCTGTTTTGACAAAGTTCCAACGATAAATGTCTTGTCACAGTCCATATGATCGCACACATTTTTGCTTCGAGAGGTAAGCACGATCTTACAACCTCCATGGTCCTTCCCGAAAGGAATACCGATCTCTGCCAATTGAATTCTTGCCCACACGTCATCCAATATTATGAGGATTTGCTTCTCCTCTTTAATTCTTCCCCAAAGCAAATTTGCTCTTTTTGATTCAGGACAATTAGATAATGATCTCAGACCTATCATGTAAGAAATTTCTTTTTGAATATTAACGATACTCGGGGTTTGGGACACAACCACCATAACAACTGAATCATACAAGCAGTCGGTAATGCTCCCAACAACTGAAGAAGCAAACTCCATGGTGTTTAAAAGAAAATCAACAGAAGAAAATGATAAAGAAAACACAAGGTTTGGATTTAACCAAGAGTATGCATGAACGACTCACTTTATAAGTCTTCTTCTATGTGAGCACTCCAGTCCAAAAAGATAGCTTTTCTTTCTTTTTTTTTCTTTTTAAAAAAATAAATAAAAATTGACAGTATCACTGTTACTTTGATAAATAACCTAAAATTACCCAAAATAAAATAATGTTCACAATTAACAAGGTTGTTGTAAGCACCACATATTACCCCAATAACAAAAAAAGTAATAATTATAGTTAAATTTGTTACAAAATTAAAGGTAGTAAGTCGAGAAACTAAATGTGACAAAATGGTGAGGAATTAATGATTCCTCGTGATGTGTGTGTTCTATATGCTAATTCTTCTCCTTACCGGGAAGGGTAAGCCGATAAGCTTACAGAAATCTTGAAATGAGAAGACCCAAGTTCAATTTAGCTGGGCAAGGTCTATCATGTTATGGTTATGGATTGTTGAAGATTTGAGTCCATTAAAACTTTTTCCAAACCAGTTAAATTACAATCCACATACAATAATCGAATTCACAAAATGGAAAATTAAATTATAAATAATTCAATAACACTAATAATTCTGATCTTTACACTTTCCATATATAAATTCCAAATTTGATGACTCTGCAATTTACTCTGTTTTGACCATTTCATGAACTGGTTTCCTGAATTTCCACTACAATTATCTGAATTTAACCTTAAGAAAGGCATTCGTGAAGGATCTGCTAAAAATATCCTTTTATTAATTACAGAAACTGAGATTCCATCACAATTTTACATGCAAATTTCTTCCTATAAATATTTTCAAGTTTTCACCCTTAATTTAGGAAAAAAAAATGCTGTTCCAAGACAGGAACTGTGATCATTAAATTATAGATCGATTACCAGATTAATCGCTCTAAAATAATGCTTTAAACTGAACTATTGTATTGTATAAGGTTATAATATATAGTTCAGACAAATCTAACAAATGAGGAATATTCATATAACTAAATTTACTGATACGTCTGTACTGTACAAACAAGAAGCGAGAGTTTTCAAGAAAAATCAGTAATTAGATCATTACTTGAGGCATCACCATATTAGATCATAGCTACCATCCATAATATTGGAGGGAAAAGTAAGCTTCAATATATACGCACAAATTTAAGCTGGCTCTTACAGAATACCTGAAAGCCCTATAGCAAAACCCTCTTGGTAATATCATAAGTTTCATTTCAAAACATTTATTATGTATTAATTTTAGTGGATACGACTGGTACAACATATTGATTGATGTATATGTAGAAAGACTTTTTCCTTAAATGAGTTTTATTTGGTTTTATTATAAAGAGAAGCGAAGAAAGAAAAGTTAGTTGAGGAGTAAATAAAAGCGTTGGCCGTTGGGCGAAAGAAAAATGTTAGTTGAGAGAGTAAATAGGAGCGTTGGGCAAAAAGAAAAGTTAGCTGAGAGAGTAAATAGGACCGTTGGACAAAAAGAAAAATTAGTTGAGAGTCTTAATAGGAGCGTTGGCAAATCATAAATAAGAAGATAAAGTAGATAGGTGATTTAAGAGAAGGCGTCAACGCAGGCATTTATTATTTACAAGACACTAATTTATTGCAGCATGTTCTTCCTATTTTATACAATCCCACTTTTCACTCTGCACCTACCCTCTTGGACACTTTCAACTCTATCAATAAATTACTTATGGACCTGCTAGGAATTTTATGATACATAATAATTAATTTTTCAGTAAGAAACTTAAATAATCCGATATTGTAGAAAAAGTATACAGTTAGTATATACATACATGCAGTTCTTGGAAAAATTTAATGAATCAAAATTCAACAGACAATATAAATTGGAAATGTGTCTCAAACCTCTTTAGCTTGTCTGCTTTTCTAAATAATGCATTTGATCTCTTTCTGCTACAATCCATGCTATGTTTCCCTCAATTTCCATACAATTTTTTATATAAATCTAAACAAACTATGTTGTGACATGGAAGTATCTCATAAAATGATCATGCATCAAACCACTAAGAAAGAAAATTTTATATTAGAAATATCATCAACAACTAAAGAAAGAAAAATATTTATATTAGAAATATCTTCGATACTCATACTCTTTATAGTCCAGGGGTATGCAAAACTGGTTAACCAAACCGAACTGGTCTTTTTTGAATCAAACCAGAAAAACGGTTCAAGCAAAAATCCAAACCGAATTCGTGCTTGAATCGGTTTTCAAACCGAATTGAATAACTAGTTCGAAAACAGGTTAATTGTATTGATGATTGATTTGAAATTTAAAAGAAAAAAATTTAATAACTCGGCTCTAATGCCAGTAGCCCATTTCTGTAATGATTAGATGACCCGATCTATCAGACAGCCCGAGGATGAATCCATGTGTAGACTAACCCAGGCTGTTTATCCTAAACATTGACCGGAAAGTTACTGTTGTAGTCTTCATTTATGTTTGCAAGAGGGAGGCCTCATAGTTCGAAATTTACTGGGTATAATCAATGATCTCCATAAGATACGTCTTTTGTTAAATTAGAATAGGATAACTTTTTGCTAATTGAAGAAATTTACAGGGTATAACTTTTTTATCTGTAAAAATGGCTTTCAAGATTATAAAAAATTGAAGAACTAACGAACTTGTAAAAAATTATGTAACGGTCAACTACCGTTTCCAATCTCTCCTCAACTTAAAACGAAGCAAATTAAATTACAGTCAATTAAACAAACAAATATGCAACTAAAAAATGGGCAAATATTTTGTGAAATTATGATAGAGAAAAAAACACATTTATTGGCTGTAGTTCAATTGGTCTCTTGATTTATTTGTAGGGATGATAGAAAAAATACCAAATAAAAACACATTTAGTGCTTATCTCATTGAAAACAAGGTCAGTCTCGGAGGGCAAAAAGAATTAATTTAGGGAAAAGAAATTAATTTATTAGCTAGTAATGTTTACCATATGCTGCCTGGATTGGAGATGATCTTTTAGAAAATTGTTCTGCGTGAATGTGTATGAACTTAACCATCAGAAGGGAGAATATGGTTAAGATGTAAAATGATCGCATTCCGAGTGACAAAAGTATAAGAAATTAATAAGTGTATTTACGTCGCATAATTTTTTTTTTAAAAATCTCAGTTATCTTTACATTTATCTAGTTATTTAGTTGGTCAGGTTCTACATGCCGAGATCTTAATATTGAATCTCACCCAAAACTAGCTTCGTTGGAGGGTTATTCTGGATTTGTAATTTTTAAAAAAATTAAGAAAAAAAATATAAGCCTAGTTACCACATAATACCTAGATTGGAGATGATTTAGACAGAAAAATCTTCATCAAATGGTTGACAATTTGTTTAGTTACCGTATAGTAGTTAGAAACCATTTTGTGAGGGAATTTAATAGTACAAGGGTAGGATGACAAGTCAATATATCTCATTCTAAGATCTGTTTATGCATGTGTTTATTTGTTTAATGCTATCCCAATGCCAAAACTAGAATGAAAGAGTAATTTTTAAGGCATTGATGTTATTAATATCATTTAAAAATTGTATGAGTATTGGAGGAAACTTAAAAAGCATGACACTAGTATGGACTACACATTTTTGAGTTCTAGATTCCAAAAGAAAATTTTGGTAAGTGACCAATTTTTAGTTTTAAGTGGAAAAAAATGCATCAAATCAGTTATAGATTAAAATGGTCAACACATATAAGGGTAAAACATGCATTGATATCACCATTGTGATGGCTGATGAATTCGTAATTATATAGCCTTCAATATGAATATTGACATACATCAGCATTTTTCCAAAATTATTAGCTTGCAACCACCTTAGATATGGTGAACTACAAGGAGTAGGTGTGGTTGAAAATATCTAATGCGCCTTTACTGATTTCCAAATATGAATAACCTGTGCGAGAGATTTATGAATAAGTATAAGACGCTTTCAGTATCGACAACGGTGTACAATCTATAGTTGGAGATCATTTTTTTAGAGAACTCAGATCAATACAAATCAGAGAATGCTTACCATCCTTTGACAAATACCGTATCTGTGGGCCACTATAGAAATCTTTCTGCACTATTGCTCTTTTCTAACTCTTTCTCCCTCGCGAAAACACGTTCTAAGTTCCTCAAGTTCTGATCTCACAAAATTACAGTTCACGCCATTAAAGTTGAGCTCATATAAGGAAATCGTCCATAACTTCATTATATTAATAATTTTCCAGAAATTCATGAGATGATACTTATACCATGTGTTGAAATACAGAGTAGTTAAAAAAATATTAAAATTAAGAACAACACATATTAACACATAAAAGGCACACGATATTTACGTGATTGGCATAACTTACCTATACCCACGAATAAGAGGGTTTTCACTATAATAATATGAATATGATCAAGTATTTCATCACACCATCAACTTCATTCTGAGCGATTGTTGGATCCTCTAATTCTCCACTAAACATCTTGTTCCTAGGTGTTTAATACCCTGAATACCCTTACATTAAACTCATGTATCCTCACATTCTCTCTTTCTTTACTTGTCTATCTCATAACCTTGAATTGGTTCTAACTCTCCTATTTATAGGTAAAATAAGACATTCTTATTTATAGGATTCATATTCTTATTCCTAATAGAACTCCTCTAATTTAAATCCTTCTCCTATTAATTATAAAGTCTGAAACCAATTCTTCTTTCCTAATACATCTCACAATAGAAAAGGAAAACAATATTCTCAATTACAAATTCTTAAACTAGAAATTTGCCAAAACTTAAATTTATTTTTCTTCTTGTTTGCTTTTCTTCTTACTTGCCTTTTCCTCTTGATTGGCTTTTCTTCATCAATTACCAAAAAGTGTCACTCCAACACCATGTATCATATAGCCTAACTTGTTTGAGATGCTTCCAGAAGCATCTCTTTCTGGGTCATCCTCTACTCCTCTC